GGGGGGGGCGAGAGATTAGACGGGCTCTCGGATAAATCCTCGCCGCGTTAACCGAAAAAAATCTATTAAGCGTACGCCGCGATAAGCAACTCGCACTTTTATACATATTATGTGTACATAATATAGATATTACACGTCGAGTATCTTATCGAGCGCAAACATTGCACTCGATGTAATCTATTGTGCGATGAATATATAACCGAGATACATTTACGCACACTTGTCTAATAATATGTTAGATTTTGTAAGAGACGTGGCATGTCGGACGATAATAATAAAAGGAAATGGAAGGCAAGAGATATCGTTATGACAGTTAATTCCAGCCGGTGAATTTTTCTCCCGGCTAAGTGTTTTCCCCGGGCGCGCGTACTCGGGGAAAATACATACGAGAGCGCGGTAGGCCGTAATTATTTAACAAATTATTGCGAGACGTATTATCAAGCATCAAATATAAACGCCGGAGCACGCGAGCCGCTTCATATCACATATCCATACGTTACGGTACACGCCGCGGAGGTAAAGAGATGCGAGATAAAGAGATGAGAGGGAAGAGAAAGGGCAGGGGAACCGTTTTCGCTATAATTAAATGTGGTTGGTAAAAAGTTTCCCCTATTTTCCGAGGCGCGTATCCGCAAATTGCATGCGAGCGCCAAACGAGCAGTGTATCGTGCACGCGAGGAAAATGCGAGTTGCCCCCCCCCCCCTCTCTCTCTCTCGCTCTCTCGCAAAGCGAACACGACGTTAACAAACCAATTAGCAGTAAACCACCTCCGGGCCCGTAATAATTTACACACTCGTGCGCGCGGAATATACACACACGAATGCGAGAGGAGGCGCGGCGGCGGCGGCGGCGAATCTTTCTCGTCCCTGGTTCTCCTCGTCCTCCTTAACTCTCGCCTTCGAGGAATCCGATGGAACGGACGGCAGGGCGAGAGAAACGGAGGACGGGATGCGCGGGTGGCCGAAGATAACGGGATCGCGTAAATAAGGATCCGAGGCGCTGCCAGGACGGACTGGCTTGCCTGGCTGGCGGTTTAGGTTGGTGGATTTAGCCGGCGCAGAGACGCGACACAACCGACCGAACGTATTTGAAAGAACACCTCCCGCCCTTTGTCGCAGCATCCGCTACGCGTCCCGTGGAAAAAGAGGAGGATATAAAGGGGCCCGCGCGCGCGCGCGAGAAAAACACAGGTGAGGAGGAGGAGGAGGAGGAGGCGAGATTGAGATTTAACCGGCGTCGGGAGTGGTTCCTGCGGGAGAACTTGTTCGCGCCATCGAAGAAGCTTCGGAATATACGGGGGACCGTCTGCTACCCTCCCGGGAAACGGAAGCGACGTGCTCGTCGCTTACGACGCAATACATTCCGCCGCGATTGTCACCGGTGGCGACACGGTGGATCTGCATTCGCCGCTGGGGATTCCCCCGATTCGATTAACATGTACGCGATACTTGCGCGGATTGATATTCTTCTCGTTTTACGGCGATTTAGCAATTCGGATCGGCTTCATCAATTAAGATCAGCGTCCTGGGCGTATAAGAGCTTAATAAACGCCACTCGCTGCATCCTATGAATCCCAATGAAGGCAATTTCGATAGTATTCATTGGCACTCAAAGCACGCAGATCGAGAGATCGGCATTTTACAATTGAATGTATACAGCAGCTGGACAGGGAAGCCTCTAACTTTTTTTTTAATGCAGATTCCAGAAAAGTGTCACGTGTCAACTACCGCGACATTCCTGGGTCGACGAGGCGCCAAGTTTTTCGTGTTCTTAACGTATTCGATGTTGACGCAAGTCAAGACAATGATATCGCGGCAACGTGAGGGCGGCTGCCTTTTGACACATATTCTAAGTATCCTTGCCAACTTACGCGAACAGGATATTCCGGCATCGAATTACGTATTCCGTAACACGCTCATGTAACGTTATAATACCGCGAAGCCTCTCTCTGTTTCTGCCGAGGCAATGAGAGGGTTCGGAGCAATCTTCCGTGAGAAATTCGAGCTCGGATCGGGTCACGTGGATCGGCACGAATTATGATGGTCGAAAAAAAAAGGGGCCGTTATAACGCCGGGAAGCCTCGCCTACGCGAAAGCGATTTCTGGCATCGATCGCAATGCATAAAATATCTACTTGGCTTCAATCTATATGCATATCCCCCTATTTATCACATTCAATATTGTGTAATGATAATCGCGAGATTGTATCTCGCGCGGGACATAACTGCTTCGCTATCGTGTCGATACCAGATTGTCATATTATACCCAGAATTTGATAAATCAGCATTTCGACGCCACTTTCTGGCTATCCCTTTCACAGCAACTGCACTTTATCCCGCCCAAGTTTTTTACCGTTTGAAACGCTGGCGTATTAACGTTCATTTTAATTAAATTGCCCATCGCCGCGGAAATAATTGTACAATCACGCGACGATTATTTTCGGTCAACTATAGTTCAGCTTGCGTTAACGTCACGGCGCAATTGAAGACGCTCTCAAGTCTGAGCCGCTGCCTCTCTCGCTTTCGTCCGTTAATTAAGCAGAGGACGAAAAGTTTCGACAAGCGCGCCACGACGAGAGCGAAACGCAATTTCCTTAATTACCGCAATTCGACAAACCGACCGAAAACGCGACACCGTTTTCGCTGTAGCGCTGCCCGTCACATGTCGGACGGGCTTAGCGCGATTAAACTCGCCCGAGGGATGTAATTTTTAAGCCATCACCGTCCCTGAAAGTCAAGAGCACGCAAAACTTCCGTGTCGAAGGGATAGCGCGCGCGATGACTATTCGACGACATTTTCTAATTACTGTTAACCAGAGATTAGTCGACTCTCCATTATCTAAAGTAAACGGCACACGATACTATTTTTCCTACACTGAGAAAACAAATTGTTGATATTACTAAATATGTTTAGTTGACAGTATTTCTTTAATTCAAATGTATGTCTTTCAATTAAAAATACATAATTCATTCAAATATATATATTTTTTAATTAACAAATGTTTACGTGAATTAACAAACAGCCCGTGACAGCAGCATATAGTTGAATCAAGAAATATTTTCTTGATTGAACAGTTTTTTCTCAGTGCACTGGATTGCTTACGAGAGCCAATCGGGATTTAGCTTTAAGTCACCTGATCTACAAGTCTGCACCCTTATTGATTCTTGTAAGCAATTCACGAGTGATACGAGGTCTGTTCAAAAAGTATCGCGAATTTTGAATTTCCGCGGGCTACGTATATTCGATTTTCGATTTTTTTGTGGCGTTATGTTGGTACTCATGTCCCTCACTCATGCTGACAAGTTCGGCCATTTTGAATGTTCAGTTAATTTTTGACAGCTATTTTGCTTGGACGTGTTTTGGCTCGTCTTCGATTTTTGCCTATTCCAAGAAATGGATCAAAGAATATACAGGGT